GACTTATTCCCTCGGCGAGTTAGGACAGTGGAAAAGGACACCTCATTGTAAATTCAAAGTTCAGAGCGGATACACTGATGTAGTATGGACCATCAATACCATGTTTCACAAACGAAATTTTAAAGCACAATTTTTTTTGCCTTTCCCCATTCCGATGGCCCCGTTCGCAGGATTTTTGTGAATTTGTCCAACCTCTCCGGTTCAACTTCCAGTTAGCCTGCAGCACATAACCGCATAATTTACTTGGCTATACATCCGATGTTAAATCATTCAGCCAACATCGAGCATATGAAAATAACGTTTATCACATCATGCTATTTCATTTGCAAATATGTGGAGAGTTACAGGAGGGCGTAAGTCCAGAAAAACAGGTGGCGGGAGAGAGCGAGAAGCGAGATTATTTGAGGGCAGGATGCGGGAGCAGAGAGCAGAACGGCAACTTGCTTGTTGTTTATTTATTTGAGGGCAAGATGCGGGAACAGAGAGCAGAACGGCAACTTGATTGTCGTTTATTACATCCAGTCAAACACCAGTACCCAGCAAAGGTTTTTGACCTTTATCTAAACGTCCACCGAGGCGTAAAATAGAATTTTATAAACGAGAAAACATAATTTGTTTTTCACAGGCTGAAAAAAAAACAGCTTAATAGCGGTGAAATTGGATACGTATTGAAGTCGAAGTTTCGAAAATCTTTACGCTGGCCAATTGGTAATTTTCTCTCTCACGCCACCAAAATCCAAGAGAGTGGGCTATTTTAGAATATTGATAAAAATAAAATTTACCCAATTTTCAGGTCTGTAGGGTTTTTCGCCGGCGGTGACAGCGTTCAGGTAATACTGAGATTATTACTCAACGACCTCCCCTTGACAAAAATATTAAAAATCATATCCATAACCGCAAGAGTTCAAAGACGTGACTGACAACGTTATAATGTAAGGCAGATTACAGTGAAACGTGAGTTAATAGAATTCCATAGCTTGGCAGTCGAAGTAAAGAAAAGAAAGGCTTTGTCTGCCTGGGAAATAACGATTGTGTGAATGCCGAAGAAGGAAAATAGAGAGCATGCAAGAGTAGATTACCACTAAACGAAACCAAATGATAAAGACGGCATAACTTACGTGCAAACTTTAGTCATCTTCAGTATTAATATGATATGGCTAAAGATTTAGCATGGGGCGAGGAAACCCCTAGGGAAATTAAGAAGCTTATGCGAGCTACAGGCTCCTCATATTTTTTCAAAAGTGAGGTATCAGTTTTATGGCGTGATTTATGTACAAAATATTTAAGGTTGAAAAGGAAAGATCGTACACACATAAAACAATAGCAACAACAGTAGGCACTCAAACAAACATTTACTTAAGCAGGGTGAGAAAAGTAAGAAAAAAAACAATAATAATAAAAAAGAATAAATAAATAAAGAAGAACAACAAAGGAGCCAACTTAGGAGTAATGTTCGCAACTTAGACTTAAACAGGGAAAGTGTGCCCATGTTTTGGATTTCTATATTCAGAGAATTGAAAAATTTAAGTCCTTGGAAACATAACACAAAATGTTTGATATTTGTTCTGCAAGAGGGGATGTAAAAGGAATTGTATTGTCTGGTAAAATACCAATGATTGCTACTCGAAAACGAAAATAATCTTTACGTTGTCCATACATTGAAAGTAAGTATCGTTTGTTTCTGTAAACCACGACTCGTGAAAGTGTTACGAAGGAACGTTTCAATTTTTCTGAAGGCTCAATAGCTATAGTAAAGAAAACTGTTTTCATTATTTCACTATTGTTACCGTTTGCTTCACTTGTACCACATAAACAACGATATGAAGCCTAGTGAACACACATCGATCAAATTTTGTATCCTGCACGACCTTCATAAGGTACTGGTTCTAGAAAAAGTCAAGCATTCGTAAAGAAGTCACAAGATTTGATGGATGAAGAAGTTTCGTGTTTCTGTAAATTAAAGCTATGCATGCCTCGACTTCAGGGATTAGAATCATAAATACTTATCAACATATTTTGATTTTTGCTTTATCAGGGAGCATTTTAGAACCTCTGCTCTACTGAAAAATGGATATTTTAAAATATCAATATTTTTTTAAAAATCTACAAATTAGAGAGGAGCAAATTAAAAGTTGGCAGAAAACGTGGGCCAATTTCAAAGAGGTGTCATTAAAACACGTAAATAGGCTTATTCATTTTAATGCATTGACAGTGAAGTTCACACAGCCAACAAAAGTCGCGAATTACCAGGTTGATAACAGAGCTCATTGCTAGTACTCTGCCATAATTTAATAAAGCAAGCGAAATGCATTCCGAAATTTGTGCTTCGTTCTCAATCGAAAATCACGCCATGGAAAAAAATGACCATTTGCCTGCAGACTTTGTGGTAGAAAGTTATTCTCCACCCAATTTGCGACCATGCTTCTTACCTTAGGCAGCTGTAGAATTGGCTCAAAACACGCTGATCCGTAAAAATCTTGATTAACGACTCTTTGCGATGACTTTCCTTACCAGTTTTGTTCAGATCGCGGAATAAAAATGTCCTTAGCAATGCTGAAAGATCCCAACCACACAATTACAGAGAATGGTGTTCATTGCTCAAATTCAGACTGTGTACTCCCAATGTGCATCAACTCAAAGCTTGGTAACCTTATCAAGAAAAGCACTGACTGCAAAAGAGCTGAAAATTCTAAGGCAACTACGGATACGAGCCTGAAAAATGCAGCTGACTGTAAAATGAACAGCGTCGCCGCAAATGGAGATATGGAGCAATGGTGGAGAGACCTTCAAAGCTTGGGGATTCTGGATCAGTTTCCCAGTAACACCCACACTGACCGGTCATTCCTCTATGAACAAAATGATTCTTCTCCCAGTCAGTTAGGCGCCATACTAAGACCATGTTTCAGCCAAGGGATCCGAGTGCTTGGAAATCAAACACAACCTTGCATACAACAGGTGCATCCAGGCTCTTCTACTGTTCCCAATCTACCTTTCTTTGGTGACGGATTCTACCAAGACACACAAACGGTGGTAACAAACCCCTTAATTCAGTCTGGAATTGCCAAACATGAAACAGACCCACTGAAAGACTCTGATGCATCCAGGTCTGCCAAGTCTGGAAAGTTGTTTGAGATTCTCTCGTTGATCTTTCAGGCTTTTGAGGGCCCTCATACAGCAAATCTTGAGGAGCACTATGCATCTGCGTTACAGAAGGCCCTTCATGAAATTCAAGCGGTTAAGAGTCTGTGTCATCATTAGAGAATGAAATATTCATTCACTGCTGCCACAAGAAGAAACAGCCCAGTCTTCTAATAAACTTAAAGCATAAGGTTTCCTTAAACGACTGGTACATGCATAGGGCTACAAGCTATAGAGTCTGTCCTTATTAGAGTTTACCAAGTACCTAGGTAGATGCATGCTATGAGGTACGTTTTTTGATGCACGTTTTAATGCATTACCACCACAGAAACGATGTACACATGATCAAATTAATTTTAGGAACACAATAGCCTCCAAAATGACAGTAGCGTACAGTAGCTCTCGGCTATGAAATGTTTGTAAAAAGTCGTCAAATTTTATAGAGGTATTTAGGTAGGTGACTGCATAAAGAAGCTAAAATATACTTATGTCTATATCATATGAATGGAGTTTT